TTAATGGAGAGTGCTGGATGTCTCTACAATTTTGTTCAAATGACTGCAGAACCTGGAAAAGCTGTTGCTGCTATTGATGCATAACATACTGCCATTATTGGTCTTCTTATATAAATATATATATATATATATATATATTTATATATATATATATACATAAAAAATAAGTTAATCATTGTTGGCTTTTTTAATTTGCACTGGAACATTCTTTTACTTTGTTTTAAGTGTATGTTTCTCAAGTAAACAATTTAGGTATTTTTCCATACCTTTTTCTTTCTGATGTAGACTTCAGGTTAATTAATATTTTACTGCATCTGGTAATGTATTCTGTGTTTGAAGCCTATGACTTTTCATTTTGATGTTCTTGTGATTTCATATGCTGTATTCTCCAAGCAATAAAATTCTGATGTATTTTATTTAAAAAAAAGATAAGTCTTATAAAATATATAGATTTATGATAATTAAGACTGAGCTAGCAGATGAGAATCCTAGTCATTGGCCAAGCAGCACTGTACCAAATACAAGTTTCTGTGTATTCATTTGGGCCTAACTCGGGTGGGTGGCTGGCGTAAAGCTCACACATGGCAGTGGGCTCAGGCATCTTTTGGCAGAAAGATTTATCGTAACAAGTACCATACCTCAAAAGCATCCTGTAGATATTGTTAAAGACACAGTCTGTGAGCACAGAGTAACTGTGTTCAATTCCTCCCAGCGTTGATTTAGACAACTCCACAGAGCTTCCAAATAAAGTCAGCTTCCCCACCTAAAAGGCAAGGATTACAATAAAATTACTATAGCAACTATGACAAAGATTAAATGTTCTGATAAAGGTAAACTATTTTAATTGTACCTGGCATTACATCACATAATTTTTTGTGCATTAAAAAAATTATTCAGCTGGTGAGATGTCTCAGCTGGTAAAGGTATCTGCTGCCAAGCTTGGTGACCCAAATTCAATCCCTGGACTGACATGGTTCATGCACCTTGGGTCATGCATCTACACACAGGTAAATAAATATGCAGTAAATATTTTAAAATCCCACAGTGTTGGCACACATTTCCCAAAAGTAGTAGTTTGTTTCACTCACTCAGCATTTACGTACTGATGAGGTGCCTCCTGCCGGCCAGGCCTTGTGCTAGACAGTTCGAATAACAAGGAAATGGGTGAGCAAAGCCTCATAACCTGTGAGCCAAGCAGTACACCGCACACTCACTCTTTTCACCGCTGTCTCTCTCCAAAGCATGGGACACACGGGGCCTGCTATTTATACAACTGTACATGCCAGTCAGGAATAGTGTGGCACAGGCTGGGTCCCCAAAGAGAATGCCACCAAGAGGAACCACAGGGCTTGACACCCCCACCCACCAGTGTGGTGGCATGACTACAAATTACAGTCTTGAGCCACACTCCACAGCACAAGTTCATCGTGTTGCCTGTTGAATGTGGTGCCTGGTCAAGTCCATAGCACCTCGTCCCTGTTAAACCAAAACTACTCACACCGCACAGGTGTGAGAGAAACGCACCCTGGTGGAAAGATCCGGAAGGTGCAGCGCTGGGCTCTGTAGCTCACACCTGCAATTCCAGGACTTGAAAGCCTGAGACAGGAGGATCAAGAGATGGGGACCAGCCTGGATTACATAATGATTGTAGGATAGCTATCTCAAGAGATGGCAACAACAAATACTAAGCAGGACACTTCCCTCTCTACATCTTCTACTCTTAAGTGTCATGGAATCGAAGAGAAGGCCTCCTCAGAGCACAAGGCTCCTGAGCTGTTGTTGTTGTTGTTTGATTGTTTTGTTGTTGTTGTTGTTTTGGTTTTTTTTAAGCCTTTGGGTAGACAAACAAAGGGAGGTGTTAGTGGCTATGGCAATGCTAACTGGCCACTGGAAACTCATGACTTCAGAAGGCCTTTTGTGGCTCAGTGATTAAGCTCTCTGTGTGGTTTCCATGGGGAAATGCAACAGGCTGACATAATGCAATGCTCAGTATACCTTGAGAGCACACGCCTTTCACCCCTTCACGCCACCATTCTGCAGTCACTACTGTCTCTCTTCTGGTTGTAACAGCACACTAAAACCTAAGATTACACGACTGTCTTCTGGTTGTATCAGCACACTGAAACCTAAGATTACAAAGTTGTTGTAATTTTTCTTTGGTTTTTGTTTTGTTTTGTTTTGCTTGTTTTGTTTTTAGTTCAGAGCAAAAAATAAGTAACACACCTCAAAAGTTCATAGGGGTCAGTCAGAAAAGAAATTAATGCACAATCTGGACTTTCTGTTCTATGGGGGCTATCAGCCTCACATATCATGTGTCAACCGACCAGACTGCAAGGGCTGATTTCTCAGACACTGATAGAGAGCAGGAGAATTAGAAGGTGGCAGGCAAGCCCCTGACCTTTCCCATCACGGTCCCCAAAGGAACACTAGTCACATTATCCTTAGAATTGTTGCGACAACTGAGAATAAATAAACACTCTTAGCCTGGGAACGCTGAACATCAGGCACCTCACTGTCCCCTGCCACATAATGAAGTCCCCGTGTAACCGAATCCTTCACCTGGTTTTGATCTGCCCTTCTGGGAGTTGCCCCTCCCTCCCCCATGAGTAAAACTCCTCCTCTTACAGCCCTGTATACCTAGACTCCTCTAGAGGCTGTCACAGACAGCCATAAAATTTTTATAGCTGCCAGGACCCATTGATCAGTGAGTCAACCGTCCATGCAGTAAAAGTGCTGTGTGTGAGAATTCAGAAGCCAGGGCACAGTGGGTCACACTTCCTGCTTGGCCCCTGGGATAGGGTTCCCACCTGTCCATTCACCTCCCTCTAGACAGACAATACACATCCAGAATAATTAAAGACAGGCAGATTTTTTTTAATTAAGTCAAAGTGGAGAAATGCAAGTGATGGATCATGTTTGTTTGGGGGATTAAAGTATCTGGACATAATCCTTAAGCCACCCAAGAAGGGCAAAAACTGGCAGGAAGGGGACAGGGAGGCTGCGGGAGCAAAGGGTCTCCTTCCCGAGGCTGGGTCGCTCTGTTTACACAGTTGTGTTATAAAAACAACAGATAATGTCCCAAACGACCTAGGAGCAGCTCTGGGTGGCTTATCTAAGGAGCCACTCCCCGGCTCACACCCTGTCTAGACCAGGCCAGGTTATCAGCAACCTCTGTAGATTAATCAGGAACCTATTATTCTGACAGGCCCAGCCTAATAAACCTGGTGCTCTGGAAGATTCTAGAGACAGCAAAGATTGCTCTCCACCACTGACAGATAACGGTCAGGCCCGGCACTTCCCATTCTACCCCAGACATCGTCTTTAACTCCTTACTAACAATGTCCCTCAGTCTGACTGAAAGAAAGAAGCAGTCTGTAGCCATGCCGACATAAAATGTCCCCATCAGAAGGCCAAGGTTGACTTGAAAATCCCAGTGAGACGAAATAGAATCCTACTGCGGCCGCCATCACCATGTGCCTCTCCTTTAAACCGCCCCCCTCAGTGCGGGATGGCCCCATACTGGGCCCCAACAAGCACACACCCATCTGTAGGTATGTAGTCGGTGCCACAAGACTGCAAAAGGATTATGAATTGTCCCAGCCAATAGGCCGTAACACTCAGGGAAAGGACACAGTCCGGAGGGAGAGAGCTGTGACAATCTAGAAACCTCTCACTCTGCTCTGAAGGTACCGTTGTGGGAGCCCTGAGTCAACCCCGAGGCAACAGTGCAGGGAGACTGAGCATGAAGACGTGTCTGTCCTGACTCATTGCACACTCCGCACCAAGTATCTAGGCTTTCCTCCACCACCGCACAGCGTTCTGTCAACTCCTTTAACCCTTTATGCCCAGGTACGGCAGGAGATCAGCGAAAGACAGAGCAAAGCTACACAAGTTGCAAGCTATACGCCACACAAGCCTTCCCGGGAAGTAAGTGAAGACTGGAGTTGAGCACATGCCACGCTTGATCCAGGCCCACAGGAATTCTGTGTTCTAACAGCAGTGGCCCTGGATGGAGAAACGGTACATGGGCACATGCGATGGCTCCGTGTTACCACCTCAGTCCCTGGAAGATGGCATGAGAATGGATGAGGCAATGAGTTTGTCATTGCCTCCATCTCCCCATCTGTAAAATGGGAACAGTGCTCTCTGTGGGTCATGCCTCGAGATAGTCGTGGTGAGGAAAAACTGAACAGACTAGAGAGTCCTTGGAGAGTGTCAACCAACACCAACCACCAGGTGTTAGACTCCACTTCGTCTTCCTGTGTGAAGGGGGTGCTTGCTCTTTATCAGCTGAAGATTATTCTAGAGTTGGAGAATAAACACAGTTCGTTGCTCCTGGCAAGGAAAATGAACTGAAGTTTTTATTTCATGGCAGCCTCACTAACCAGGATGATACTGCACATCTGCGAGCCCGGCAGTTACAAGGGGGAGTCAGGAGCATTGTGATCTTGGGGCCAGCCTGAGTTACACAGCAAGGCTTTGACTCAACAACATTTTTTTTTTTAATAAAAGAAAGACCTGGGTAGGCACCAGCTACATTTCAATACAGGGATCCAGATTAAAACCTCAGATGGAATCTTTATCAGTTGTACTCACATGTGTCACTTGAGGTCGGACAGGAGCCTGGCAACAGGCTTGTGGAGAAGGGGCACAGCATGGCTCCTCACCTCCAAGACACTTGGGGACCTGAAGGAAACACTGGCATTCCTGTCGGTGTTTATTGATATTGTGCTGCCAAACACACCTGACCCAAAGCCCTTCAAGGGAGAGATGTGGATTCAGACACTGGAGCTGAAAGGGCCCCAAATCATTCATACAAAATAATCCAGTTTGGCTAGGCCTGGAGGGGGGGAACCTGGCTCCTTGTTGAGAAACTTCTTGCTCCCCTCAGAAATCAGAAAGCACTAATAGAGTCAGAAAAGATGGCCATGAAGTCACCGGCATGCCTCTGCGTGTCCCAGGTATGCAGAGATGAGACGCCCACATTTAAGAGGCATCAATGTGACCATCCAAGTGCCTTCTGTGGCACACTGGTGGACCTGCCCTCCTGGGCACAAATCTAATATGGACTAGTGGTGTTAGTGTTCAAGCCCTCTCTACCCCTTGCTCTCAGCACAGAGCTTCTGAACTTTTTGATCAGTTCACCTGTCTTCTCGTTAGACGTTGTGTTTTCAACTTTAAAAGCCAAAGGACGTTCATTACCTATCCCTGAGGCAGCCTCAAGACTGTGGCCGAGGAGAAAGCCTCTCCTGTGGTCTCATCCAGAGATCCCATTCTGGGGACCCTAGGACCTCATGGCAGGAAATCCATCTGCATGGCTATTGGTCCTTTTCATTTCCCTCCTGATAGTTAAGGAAGCTGTTTTCGGAGGACATTCCCACAGAAACCCTACTCAGTCTTTCTGTGTGTTCACACTGGCTTCAATAGCTTCAGTTCCCACCACAGATTAAATCAGACTTTGCCATTTCATGGCTTTATTTTGAAGCATTAGGCTATTTGAATGTGTTCACTGCCACCTTGTGGCACAGAAAAAAAGAAAGGAGAGAGAGAGAGAGAGAGAGAGAGAGAGAGAGAGAGAGAGAGAGAGAGAGAGAGAGCGCAGACCCCTTCTTGGTAAAGGGCTAATTGTGTTTAGTTTGGGGTCAGTCTTGGAAATACTGACCACTTTTTCTTCTCTGTGGAAGGACCTTTGTGCTGATCTGGGTACAGGATCAACTCCCTAACTGAGGGTTTGGGGGGAGGGGGGGCAGAGTGGAAGGACGGAGTTCCTGAACTGCCACGGCCTGTGAAACGGCCACAGCAAAAACTTCAACTCCCAACATCCCCAAAACTCTCTAGTGGTGCCAGGATCCAGCCAAAATTCCATATGATTGTATTTACAAGAAAGTCACTGCCCATAATCTCCTCAGTGCTTCATAAAGAGGTCTGCATTCACTGTTTAACCATGCTTGCGTTTTGATCTTAACCTAAGCCCTACAGTGATACAGTGATGCTTAAAATCTCTGGCCCCGCTATGCCACGTGGCTTCCTTTCAATGCTGAGCACAGCCTGTCTCCCGTATCCGCTGTGTTTCCTGTTGGAAAGACGTTTCTCCAGCCCTGTGCTTCTCCAGATGAGCCTGAGAAAAGTGATTTCAAGATAAAGATATATATTTTTTTCTCATGGTGAGCTCTCTAACTGTGGGAAATGTAACTCTGATAAACATACACCTTCAAACTTACAGATTTGGTTATAGGCAGTGTGTGTGTGTGTGTGTGTGTGTGTGTGTGTGTGTGTGTGTGTGTGTGTGGGTGTGTGTGTGAGAGAGAGAGAGAGAGAGAGAGAGAGAGTGTGTGTGTGTGTGTGTGTGTACAGTGTGTCTTGTCTCTGTGGTTACTAAAACCATACGATATGGATAGCAATCACGAGCCACAAAAAAACATACCCAAGAGCTGGGATCTTCTCAACGCTAGCATTAACTCCAGCAAGGGGTGTGACACTTAAGTGGCCTCAGAGGCTCTGGAGTTAAAAGTTCAAGACAGGAGGAGACGGGGACATGAGGGTCTGACAGGAACGCTGGAGGACCTGGAATAAAAACAGGAATGTTTGACAAAACACAATATGTGAAAGCAGGAAAGGCTGTAAAATGAAGGTACCTTTTCCCCAGAGCTGATGGCAAGCGCTGGCGGGTTCAGTCTCCACTTTTCAGGGTGAGAATGTAACACAAGGCAAATAAAGTCGAGGAGAGTTGCAAACTGGAAAATAACCTGCACTGTTGGTACCAGACACCCTTTATCACCCCAGAGCTTTTGAAAAGAGACTAAAAGAGAACAATGGGGGAGGGGTGAGCAGAGGAGGGAGGGGGAGGGACTGGAGCCAGCAGTGTTTGTTCAGAATGCTGTGGTTGTCACTGTCCACAGGCTTCAGGGGGAAGGTGGCTTGCTCTTCCTGGCTGCTGGGTGGCTGAGTGAGACTCTGTGACCAGTTCTGGTGAACAGGTGGAGACAAAAATGACTTGTGCCACTTCCAGGGTACACTGGATGAGTGACACGAGGGGTAGAGTTCTCCACTCCTTGCATCACCATGGCCTGCAAATCAAGATGGTAGCCACTCAGGGGGTGTCAGAGTCAACGCTGCAGGCACAGCATTTGTGAGCGTGCAGCTTGCTCTACCTGCGCTGGGAACAGACTCAGTGAGGATCAAACCACTGCAGCTTAGGCCGGAAACATCTGGGTGATATTTGTTAGCACAGCATGACAGAGCCCATCCTGACTAAGCCGCCTCTGCTTTAAGGAGAAATTGTAGCTGTCCTTTCTAAGTTTGCAGAAGGATGTACATCGTCCTTAGGTTGAGCTGACCAAGGCCCGAGGCCTCCGGGAGGTGGACAGGTGTCAGCTAGCATGGAAAGTGTTTCACATTTCCCAGCATCTCTCCATCATCTCACGGAAGACTGATGCTGCCTTCCGGGCAACTGTTACTTTTATTCTAGGAAAAACACCAAAATGCACCCTGCATTGCACTGAAATAAATCAAGAACACTCTCTGCAGTTCTTAGGGGGGAGGAGGGAAGCTCTAATTGAATCCATCTCTCAGGGAGGAAGTGAAGCCTGGGTCTGGAAATGAAAATTGCTTCACAGAGCTGAATCAGAGCAGTGATTCTCGGGGACTCCTGCTTTTCTGAGTGAGGAAAACACATTCCTTCTTCTCCCAGTGTCAGTCAGCCATTCCTTGGGAGAGGAGGCAAGATCACTATGGCTTCCTGATGGCAGCCACATATACGATTCAGGAGAGCCGGCATCCCCAGGCTTGAATTGAACCCTAAGTTCACTTTCTCTGCTTCCCTTCTCTTCTGATCCTTTGACCTTCACAAGGGGCAGGCAGAAGCTGCAGCCTGGCTCCACGATGGAATGGGCAACAAAGAGAAGAGAAACTCCCAGCTGAGGCGCAGAGCCTTCCTGCAGAGCCTTCCTGTTGTGATCGGAAGCTCTCTGATGCCACCAGCCAGAGCAAAACCCACTCCTTCAGCCCAAGACAACAAAAAGACGACAAAGAACTCCACCCAGGTCCTCTCTCTCTGAATCCTCACTCTAGCCCATTTCACTCATAATGCCATCGCCTAAAATAACACAGCTGGTGAGACGGCTGGATGTCACTCTGCGCACACGTGACTCTGACACCTAGCCACCATAGCTGCTTCCTGTGAGTTTAGGGTGAGCTCCCATGAAAGGAGATCCTCAAGGTGCTTCACAAGTCATGCACGGTCTGTAAAATCCACGAGTTTTGTCTGCACCAACAGATCATGCCCGGCTCAGGTTTTAAATATGTGCTCAAAGAGAGTGGGTCCACTCTATCTTGGGGTCATTCTGTGTCTCCTCAAGCAATGAATACTGAATGTATTTGCCATGAGCATCCGGGGTCCATTAAACTGTCCAACTTTAAGAGGAGCCTGAGGTTCATGATCACAGAGGCACCACCAGTGTTAAAGAAGTTTCTAGAACTATCAGTGGATGGGAGAATGGGAAGAGAGGGTTCACCACATCCCGTCCTCACACAGCTTAGTGTTGTGCCCAGAAAGGCACAGTCCATAATGCAGGTTCACCCCAGAGCAGGCCTTGAGAGGATGGAAACTGAGGCAAGGCCGAGGTGCCACATGCAAGGCCCTGCCCGTACAGGCACCAGGGGATGGTCAACACTGGGTATCTCAGTCTCTCTCCACTTTTTGAGACAAGGTCTCGAGCTGAGTCTGGAACTCTGGGGATCTGCCTGTCTCTGCTCAGCCAGAGCTGAGACTATAAATACAAGCTGGAGGGGCAGGAGCCCAGACTCAGCAGTTAAGAGCGCTGGCTGCTCTTCCAGAGAACCTGGGTTCGGTTCCCAGCAACCAGGCGGTGACTCACACCTGTCTTTCCATGTCCAGGCGATGCAACGCCCTCTTCTGGCCTTCATAAGCACTGCATGCACATGGTACACGGACACATGCAAATACTTACACACATGTAAGTACACATACATGTGCAAACACAAACACCCGCTGCCAGACCCAGCTCTTCTAGTGACTGCTGGAGATTCAGATCCAGGTCCCTATGCTGGCATGACAGCCACTTTACCTACTGAGCCATCTCTCCAGCTCCTAATAAGCCCTTGGGGACAACTGGGGTGCCACTTAACCTTATCCTTACATTTCATGGGATTCCACAGGAGGCAAGGCTCCTAGTCTCAGCTCTCCTGGGCCACAAACGATTACATGAAAGCAAGAATAGGTTTCCCACACTCTGTGGTGTTTAGGGCATGGCACCGGCAGACTTGTGCTCTGTCTCCCTAGCCTGTTCTGCAATGCCTACCTTCCACTTACTTCACCCAGAACACCATGCTAGCTATAGTTAAAACTGCCAGGCTTGGGGACTCAGACCTAAACACACTGCTCTTTGATCATCTCTTTCTACTCCATTGCTTGCTATATTGAGAGTCTTCCTCATGGCTGGCGCTAATTATTAAATTATTTGTATTGTTGTCTTTATTAAGTACGATAACCCCCATAAAGTGTAAGATATTCTTGCCCCCATTTTATGAGTGAGGAAAATGTAGCCTTAGGAGAGAATCCTTAAGCCAGCCCCTTAGCTAATGTTCCAGGATAGGTCTTCTTTTGAAGCCTAGGTATATGTATTTAAGCCTTTCCTCTTTCTGCCCAGAAACTGCAGTCATCTGTTTGGGTCACTTCTTCAAAATTTATTCAGAATTCTCCTTTGAAAATGGTGACTCTCGGTATCACCTTCACAGACAAGAGTATCAGAGAAGTTTGAATTACGAAGTCACGGACCTGGAAGTGGCCTTGCAACTCAGCAATGATGTGTTGAACTCAGTCATATTCTGAGAAGCGGGCAAGACAGCCAGTAGGACAGCAGACAAGTGTTGTCTCACACTGCCACCATGAGATACTGCCCACTGGTTCTGATGGCGCTTCGGGTGCCCAGTGCGCTCTTGGAGGAACACATTAATCAGACCCCCACGCGCTTACACAGGCTCTGTGGAAGCTCTGGATAATCACTTCCCCTGTCCAAGTAGATTATCTCTCACTCAATTACATTTTCACTTTCCAAACTTGGTCCTGAGTGGTTCTTGTTATCTTCAAAAACTAAGACTTCTAAATAGAGGATGACCTGTCAACCAAGAATATTCAGTAGAAATGCTTAAAATGACTGTTGCAATCATTTTTGAGCCCAGGTTATATATAATACTGCAGTGGCTTGACTAAGAACAGCTCCCAGAGGCTCACATATTTAAGTGCTTAGTCGTCAGGGAGGGGCACTATTTGAGAAGGGATGGGGGTGTGGCCTTGTTGGAAGAAGTGTGCCACTGGGAGTAGGCTTTGAGGTTTCAAAAGCCCAAGCCAGGCCCAGTTCTGTCTTTTCCTGCTGCCTGTAGATCAGGATGTAGAACTCTCAGCTACCTCTCCAGCACCATGTCTACACTGTGTGCTGCCATGCTTCCCGCCATGGTGATAATGGACTAAACCAGTGACACTGTAAGCCAGCCCCAGTTAAATGTTTCCTTTCGTAATAGTTGTCATCGTCATGGTGTCTCTTCACAGCAATAGAACACTGACTAAGAGCCACTGAGATGGCTCAGAGCGTGTGGGGAGAACTTGCCTCTAAGTCCTATGGCCTGAGTTTGATCCCTGGAATCAAATAGCAGAAAGAGAGAACAAACTCCTGGGAGCTATTTTCTGATGGCTACCTTTAATTGCACGAGCAAATAATTATAAAAGGAAGGAAGGAAAGAAGGAAGGAAGGAAGGAAGGAAGGAAGGAAGGAAGGAAGGAAGGAAGGACCCAATATTTGGCTGGTTTGTTAAGATGGGGTGTCACCATGTTGCCCTTACTGGTCTTAACCTTGGGTGCTTACATGTTCCTTACATGTTCCTTGCATGTTCCTTGCATGTTCCTTGCATGTTCCTTGCATGTTCCTCCCACCTTAACCTCCCAGTTTTGTTTTGTTTTATCTCTACAACAGTACAGATTTAATCCTGGAAAATATTGTTTCTTTGTTTATTTGGGTTTTTTTTTTTTCAATGCTAAGGATAAGACACAGAGTTTTGTTAGTGGCTGACAAGTTATCTGCCATTGAGATGAACTCCCAACCCCTGCTACATCTTGGAAAATACGAACAATCTTCCAAAGTAAACATAGCTTTACTTTGGGACAACAACAAGATGGGGTTGTCCTTCTGTATGTATGTTTCTCTTATTGGTTGATGAAGAAAACATTGATTGGTCAGTATTCAGGCAGGAAGGATAGGCGGGGCTACGAGACTAGGAGACTTCTGGGTACAGAAAGGAGAGAGAAGCCACCAGAGAGAGAGACACCATGTAGCAACCAGGAAGATAGGATGCCAGAAGTTCTCTAGTAAGATAAAACTATGTAGAGATACATAGATTAGTAGTTATGGGTTTATAATTAAGAGAGAGCTAGCCAGTAAGAAGCCTGAGCCATCAGCCAAACAGTTTCTAATTAATGAAAGTCTCTGTGTACTTATTTGTGGCTAATGGGCTGTGGGACCAGGCTTGGAAAAAAGTCCAGCTACATTTCC